GGGACTCCAGGATCATGACCTGAGCCGAAGGCAGTCGCTTAACCAACTGAGCCACCCAGGCGCCCTTTTTAATTTTTTCTGATAATTTCCACCTCTCTGTTTACATTACTCATCTTTTCTCACATGTTGTCTACTTTTTTTCACTAGAGCTCCTAGCTTATTATTGATAGTTACTTAAAATTCTTGGTCTGATAATTCCACCATCCCTGTCATATCTGAGTCTAGTTTGGATACTTGCTGTCTCATCAAACCATCATGTTGTTTGCTTTTTAATGTGCTGTATAATTTTTTGCTTAAGACATGATATGCCAGGTAGAAGGAACTCTGTGAGCCATCCATAAAGTGACGATGGGGTGTGGGGGCAGCACACGTCCTGTAGTGCTGTGATTTGGTCTCGTGCTCTCCTGAGTCTGGGCCACAGGCTGACCACCTCCCTCTGTGGGACCGGACGGCCCGCCACCTGCACTTTGAACTCCTCTTCCCTCAGTCCACCTGGGCTGAGACAAACCCCAGAGGTTAAGCTCTTGAGGGTAGGCCTTGTTGAGAACTGAATACTTTGTTGTATTTCTAAAAGGGTACTTTTCCCCTCCCTCTACTGGAAGCAGGAGGGGATTTTTGTCTGATCTTCCCTGAGAACCTGGCAGCGTTCCTGGAGGTGAAACCTGCCAAAGCATTGGTGCCCTGTGTCCCCTCAGCACGATTGGTGGCTGGAGGCTTCGTCCTAGCCTTCTCCACACTGAGACCTCAGCCGCTGGGCGGTTGCTGTTCAGGGTTTCCTGCCCTACTTCCTGTGGACGCTTCTGCCCGCTGAGCTGTGATCGTCCGCATCTGCAGGTCAGTCTCTCCGGTTTGGAGAGCAGCCGTTTGCCCTGTGACTTCACGTCTCTGACCAATCAAAGGAGAGTTGTTGATTCTTCATCGAGTTCAGCTTTTTGCTTGTTAAGGTGTGGCACCAGAAACAGCACGTTCTCTCTGTTCATGGCGTTCAGTTTTCAGGAGGTCTTGGCTTTCCCTCTTTGTAGCCTCTTGTTCCCGTGTTCCCTTGGTTTCCATGCGGACACCCGTTCTTTCACTTCATTCCCGTGTGGCTCTGGGATCATTTCATAACCAGTTCGCTGCTCGTCTGATGGCACTCCTACCACGGAGGGGTTGTTTCTTGAGTGATCAGTAGAAGATGGTTTCCGCCAGGGTCCTCCTCCAGCTGGGGAAGTGAACTCCATGGGGACATGTGGTGACTTGTGGGCCTGAGCTTTGCCTGGCATGCAGGGATGGAGCAGCCCAGATGCTGAGTCAGCTACCCTGCCCTGGTGTCCTCCGTGTGGGAGGGGAGGGCGTGCTGACGCCTGGGGCAGGCCCAGCAGACCCTGAGCGAGTCCTTCATGTCTATGTACACGTCTCTCCTCATCCTTCCAGCCCAAGCCTCGCCATGTTCCACGGTGCTTCAGGGAGCTCTGCTCTCCTTCCAGGCTGTGTTCTCCCGTCGTCCCTGAGTCACCTGCATGTTTGTGTGCAGGCTGCGTAGAACGAGGATGGCCCTGCGCTGTCACCTGGGAACAGTGATGGATCGTCCGGTGCAGACCAGTTGGCCATCTCTCTTCCTGTTCACTTAACTTTATCATCGTGAGTGTAACACTAGTAAGGAAGTGTGTGTTTAAATCGCATACTTTCATGTAAGGCCAAGGAGAGAGAAATTTGGATAACTCGCAAGCCTCCAGCCTGGGGAACCACCATACCGAGTTTGTGGTTGGAGGTTTTTTGTCTATTTTTGCTGCTCAATGTGAATTTTGATCATTGTAGTAAGTACTTATGTTTGCTGCATTCCACGGATTGTGTTTCCATTTTTTCTTCAAGATCAAAGTTTTATTGTGATTTTGTCTTTGGACTATGGACTTTTAGAAGATTGTTGTTTAATTTTCAAAAACACAGGTATTTCCAGATATTATTTATTTCTGGTTTAATTCTGATGTGGCCAGAGCACAAACTTCTTATGATTTCAGGTGGTTTTAAGTACATGGAGGGTTTGTGTTCTGAGGAGCAGATGGTGTGACTGGGTGAACGTCTCATGTGAACCTGGGAAAAAGTGCGTGCTGGCTGTTTGTGGAGTTCGGGTCTTCCGTGTCTGTACCGATTTTCTACCTGCGTGTTAAGTCAGTTACCGAGAGGGGAGTTCAGGTTGGGACTGTGGGTGATTCTTCCTGCCAGCGCCGTCCGGTTTTGCTTTGTGTCCTTCAGTGTTCTGGGACCAGGTCCACACAGTCGGCCTGGTGTTAAATGTGGGGACTTCTTGGTTCATTGGCTCTTACCATTTTGAAATGTTGTCTTGATCCTCGATAACTTTGCCCTGAAGTTAACTTGTGTGGTGTTAGCCACTGTGCCATCCCTTCTGTCTCGTCTCCGAATTGGTGTGTGTGGCGTGTTTGTGTTTGCTGGGATTCTCTGTTCCGTTGGGCTGAATGTGTGCTCAGTGCATGGGTTCACCCACCGTCTTCTGTCCTGGCTCCGCAGTTTCTGACAATGAATCTGGAGTCAGTATTGCCTTTGTTTCCCTACATTTGATGCGTCTTTCATTGTCAGGCTGTTTTAAAAGTATTTTATTGGTTGCTGATTTTCAGAAACGTGATTAGGACGTGCCCTGGTGTGGTCGTCTTTGGCGTCGGTGAGCTCGCTGGCCATGTGCTTGCGCACTTACCTGCCGTTGCTCCTTCCAGAGTTGTTTCTTCTTTCCCACACCGTCCTCTCTGTTGTGGGTGTAGTTCACAGTGCATCAGGCCACCAAGGCCGTTCCCATCCCCGCTGTTCCCCGCCACTGGGGACAGCGTCACTGGTCTTTGTGTCTGTGGGGTCTGGTCTGCGGTTTACCACATCCCGCTCTTCTTCATTCATTTCAGATCCTGTGTTTTCCACCAGTTTCATTCCTGTCCTTTCTTCACATTTTTTTTCTTTTAAGTGTCGTTTGTGTCTTCCTTTAACTATTTGAGTGTATTTATTACAGCACTTTTAACATTTTTCCTGTTACTTACGTTGTTTGGTTATAGCCCACGGGGGTGTGGGGTCCAATCTGCCGCTCCGCGTTGGGAATGAGCTGTGGCATGTCGGGACCCCGTTGCTGCCTTCTGGGTTTGTTCGGGTCCTCAGACGCCAGGATGGGCTGTAGCAGCTTTGATTCCTGGGGCTCCTTCAGCCTTCCTGCTGAGGGGCCACCTCTTTGTGGTTTTTACCTCACAGGTTCAAAGAGGTGGCTTGCTGGACTTCGAACACCATTCATGCCTTTCCACCCCCAGATGTTTGGAGGCCCCCGGCCCCCTGTCCTGCCAGCCCTGGTCTGGCTCTCAGCCTGGCGCACCCACCAGGTTCTTCTGGTTTCCCTTCTCCTATTGGCATCCACATGTTGCCCTCAGAACACAGTCTGCGTCAGGGCCGGGTCGCCGTAGTCCTGCCCCACCCATCATTCCGATGCCTGGATCCAGGTGTCTCACGTCTGCGGTGTTCTAGTTGCTGGGGACGGGAACACAGCTGCTGAAATGTCATACTTTATGGCCAGGATCGTCACTTCTCTGGTTTTTGTCCATGTGATTTTCGGCGGTTTTTTATGACTGATCTGGGGAGATGAGCTGTTGTCCCTGTCATTTTACCTTCCTAGAACTCCTTTTATCTCCTTTTTAAAAATTAGATAAACAAAGGGCTTTCTGCATGTTGGCTGTTTATGGTTTATTTTTATTCATGCTTTATTTAGCAGTTTTTCAGAAATTAATTTTTCCAAGTTCTGAAGTATTTTCTATCCAGTTTTTATTGACTTATATTCACTTCTCTTTTAGGCCATGCTGGTGTGTCTGCAAGCATGATGAAGAAAAGGACTTCCCACAAGTAAGCACCTCTGAAACTTGCTTTTAGATAGCAGGCTGTGGCCGTACGTGACGTGGGGTCTGAGATGCAGCGTGACGCCCTCTCCCCCGGGTTCGGGAGGTCTTGCCTCGCTGCATGTTGAGTACAGACCTGCAGCCGTGTCCCTTGGCCTTGGCCTGGCCTACGGCTGCCTAGGCCTGTCCTTCCACCTCTTAAAGCCTCTGGGCCGTGATTTCCCCTCCAGCTCAGAGGGGCTGGACTGACGGCCGGAAGCGTCCGTTGTGGCGAGGGTGGCAGGTGCGTGGTGAACCCCTCTTGCTTCTCTCCTTGGAAGGGCTACACTCTCTTGGCTTGCAGGTTCTTGTCTCCGATCTGCTGCTGGACAAGGAGATCCTTGTGGACAGAGGCCTTCGCTCATGCTTGAGGGCCTGGCTAGCATGCTGACAGGTGCTTGCCCACTGCTTTATAACATTTTCAAATAAATGAAAAGCTTGTAATTTAGGGAACACATATGCATGTTGGAAGATAATTAAAAAGCCATGTATTTTAAGTGACCAGTAGGTTATAATTCCTAAATTCTATAGGTACCAGAGTAAAGAAGTCACTTTTTCTCTCTTAAATCTTTGTGTATGACGTAGTTACATTTAAAAAGAAAATTGAGATACTATCTTGAATAATACTGTGCTTGTACTGAATTACATTTAATAGATTTCACAAGTACCCACCAGGTTCTGCTCGCTGCTACACTACGGAAATCGCTCTAAAGAACCAGTTCTGATTGTTTGGAGTCTTAATCGTAGACTTCTTAACTCTGGAAGAGACCCTTTGACCCCAGCCAGCACCTCCCAAGCCTCTTGTTATAGCCGTTCTTTTCAAATTTTTCCTACTGAGAGGCTCGTAAGTGCCCCTGCCACCACCCTGTGGGGTTGAAGAGCATGAGATGCCCATTCGTAATGGTTGGTGGTCAGTGCGCACATGCCTCCCGTTTCAGAGCACATGTGGACATGTGACGTAAATATCTAATGCATAGTTTAAGAAATGACCTGGCATAGAAAGGTGTGATGTTGAGGTGAGTATGTGTGTCCCTGAGGTTTGATAAAGCATTTCCCAGATTCCGTGGATTTGCCCATTACTAACCTTCGTGCTTCTGCCACATCCAGGGACCTGGTCATTCATGTACTGTTTCTCCCTCATTATCATACCACAGCATTACAGTAAATGGTAAACCATGTCTTGGCCCAAGTGGAAGGTAACCAAACAAATACAAGCGTTAAATATTAGGTGATGATAGAAACGTAACTACAGTGGGGAAGAGAAGCAAGGCACACGTTAACTTTGCAAGACCAGAACAGTACATGCAAAATAGATTTTGCCATAATCTGTGTTAAGATAAATGGCTTTAAGAATGTAATGTGCATTCAGTTTTATCCATTTTTACACATTGCCGGGTATCTAGGACTAGAACATCCTTGACTCAGGATTGTGGGCATTGTTGGGTTTGTGCAAGGATTTTACGAGCCTCGTCTGAAGCATGATCATCTGTTAACTCCTGGCTCTGAGGTGCTGGTTATTTCTCCCCCCAGAGCACAAGGAATAAACACCTACCTTTAAAACTTTGCTGTTCATATGTGTGCCAGCTGAAGGCATCTGACCCCTGGGCTCTGCCGTGCAGGGGGCTTGACCTAGTGCTTATTTCCATTGAAAGTAGAGGGCCGTGACGGAGTTACTCTGTAGCAGAGGGAGCTGGGAAGAAAGGAGAGGCTGTCGCTCCCACTCGCCTGTGTCTTCTCACCTCTGTGCGCCTCTGAAGATGGTTGGAAACAAAGACCTATGATGCACAGGTCTGCACCGTTTACCACGGGTGGTGGTTGCTGGCTGCCTCTGGAGCGGCCCCTGCCCAGGAGCTGGTGCGAAGCAGGAAGCTGGATGGCTCAGCTGGGCGCCTTGGCACGTTCCTCCATCCGCCTGGCACCGTGCTTACCGGGCCTAAAAATCCTGATGTGGACCAGGACGGTTCCTCTCCACAGGTGACATGTTTATGGAAACCACGTGGAAAAGCAGACCTGGAGCCTCACTCTGTCTCTCCACTGTGGCCCTCCGGCGAGCGAGTCAGGCACGCAGGCCTGACACACGCCTCAGTCCAGGGGGCTGAGCAGGAACGCCATGTGTGGACGCCTCTGCTTGCTGGAGGGCGTCCCAGGCACACCCAGGAGGTGCGTGTTGGCGGAGCCACCGTCCCCACAGGGACCGGCAGGACTCGGGGACTCGGGTCTGCCATGTTGGAGCACCGCGGCACCCAGAAGTTGTGCAGCTGTGGCTCATTTCCGCTTTTACAGTAAAGGGAACAAGCTTACATGCCCCCTGCCAGCCGGGCCCCTCACTGCATTTTGGGAACAAGTTGGTGACCGGCATGTCCTGGCTTCTCAGGAGGTGGTTTGGGAAATGCCTCTCAGTGAACAGCCTGGGCTGCGTGGGTCCACACGACCTGCATTTCTTTCCGTAAACACGGGACTGCGCTGTGCGTGTATTTTCTCCTCCTTATGATTGTGTTCATAGCACTCTTTTCTCCAGCATGCTGGATTGTCAGAATGCCGTATGGAGTACGTGTAACATACACAATAGGGGTTAGCTGACTGTTTGAGGTTATCGGTAAGACTTGTGGTCAAGCTATTAAATTTTGAGGAAGTCAGAAGGTACACCCAGATTTTCAACTGCGTGGGGGGTCAGTGCCCCAGTCCCTGCTTTGTTCAAGGGTCAGCTGTGGTTCTTGAAGGGAAGGTATAGTTGGACGTCTAAGGTGAGTTTAGCTGTAGTGGTTCTTTGTTTCAGTTGTCAAACGGAAATCTGGTTCTTTTTCTTCCCTAATTTGAATAGTGGATGCATTTCCGTTTCCAGGGTTTTGGTGTATTTCCCACTAACGCACATTTAGAGAATGGACCAGAGCTATATTACACACTGAGTAGAGAGGTTTCCAGGGAGGGCTTTTCCATTTGTTAAGACATAAGTCACTGATGGCAACAAGGACAGAGACGCCGCCTCCTCTTCGTCAAGTCCCTGGGTGGCCTCCCTGTCAGGGAGGAACCCTGAGCCTGTCCATGCACAGAGGCTAACGAGCTAGCCCGGGCTCCTACACGCAGGAGTGACTGAGCGAGGGCTCACAGATAGGACGGCAGGACTCTAGAGCACGCAGCGACCACACCGTGTGTCCGCGGGGAACATGTTCTAGTCTCCCGTCTGCAGAGTGGGTGCTGTCCGTGGTAAACACACGGGCTAGGTGAGCAGTGGAGCCTGGTGCTGACTGCCTAGATGACTTCTTAATCGGCTTGTGAGGAGCTGCTCTTCACACTAGTGAAGTGGGTAGCGTTTTGGAAGGCCCTCGGCATTGGGAGGCTTCCGTGGACAGCTCTTAGTGTGTAGACAGAGTAACAAGAGAACCCCTAGCGATTTGGGTGGAAGACAGACCCACTCCCTGTTGTTTTTATCTTGTCCTGTTAAGCCAGCAATGGTAGAGTGTCTGCTGTGGAACTTTTATTAAGCAGCGCACAGCAGAAAAGCAGTTTTTTCGTTCTTCTTGCTGGTGGGCATCTTGTAAAAAGACAGCCATTTTGATTTAATCTGTATTTTCTGCTGAAATCTGCGGGAACACAGAGTAAGGGAACTGCTTTTCTAGGACAGGACTAAAGAGAATAAGGAAAGCATGTCAGTAATTAATGGATACAGCAACATACACAGAGTGTAATAGGCATTTATTGGTTCATAGCAGAGTTGTAGTAGTTGAAATTTGATTGAAGAAGTGTGGTCCCTTTAACTTTTGGCTACCAAAATAAGATCCTCCGGTCCTGGGGGCTGTTTGGGGTGGGTCTCAGACATGGAGGGAGTCTGGGTAAACACTGGAAGGTCTTCCACACAGAATTTCCTTTCTGGTCGACGGAACAAGTAGCATGGTCAATTCAGAACTTACTTGAAGTGTTGAAAGCGTTGAGCAAGGTACAGAAAGTCCCCTGCAGTCGAGCTCGCCTTGTTGGGAACATGGATGCATAGAAATTAGTGTTGGTTCTGAATCGTGCTCCCCAGGGGTGGTGCTTGGGGCAGAGTGCCCGGGAACCTGTTAGGCTAGAAGGTCTGGGATCGTGGACTCCGGTCTGTGGGGCCGGTGCGGCCGTCCACATGTGCTCCGGGTGGCCGCCTGCCCGTGGCTCCTCTGAGGCTCGTTGGGGAGCTAAGCGGGTTGTGCTGTAGCAGTGAGACTGGCTGCTGAGGGGCCGGCCCCCGTCCACTCGCCCTTGAGGACACACAGCAGCTCACTGGTCCCTGAAACCAGTCATGTCAGAGATGGCTTCTGGAGATAAGCAGCGAGCAAAGTGATCATAGGTGTTCACCTCTGGTCTCTCTACTTTACCCTTGAATCCTTTGGATGGTGACTCAGGGCGGCCTTGTCCTCGCGCTCGGCTGCAGTTCAGGCTACCTCCCCGGAGCCAAGTTTCTGGGCATCTGTCTGCAGCCGCACGGTGTGTCGGCCTGGCAAGTGGTTGTGGAGAGCGCTGCAGACTCATTCCCAAGAATATAGGGATTGAGAGCCGTTAAAAAACACATGTGTCCAGGGAGGACCTAAGTCAACATCACCACGTTTAGGAAGCCCTCATTTTAAATTAGAAAAGCTGTTTCCGTTGATAATGTCCCATCTGCGTGCTGTTCTTTGAACCACCCAGAGATGACCTGAGGGTGTGTCCCGATTCTGGACCTTCTCCGGGAATCAGACACATTCCTCTTAGTTTGCTTTTATACGTACTGTTTCAGCTCGTGAAAATAAGCTTTTATTTTTATTGCAGCTCTTGTTGATTTTTATCTAAATTACCAATTAGCAATTAAAATAAGATTTAAGAACTTGTTCAGGATATAATTTTTAACCTTTCTAGTTTGTGAGCAATTTAAAGATTTTTTAAAAAATTTTTATTTATTTGACAGAGAGTACAAGCAGGGGGAGCCGCAGGCAGAGGGAGAGAGAGAAGCAGGCTCCCCGC